CCCACATGTACCAAATTCCAGCATAATTCGATCAAGCTTCTCTCCTGCCTCCATCAACGCAACACTCATCCAAATTTCCTACGTTTTCTGTACAAACAGAGACACGATTCACAATCTCCAATTCCGCCTTCCACATCACGCACTCGAATTCATATCATCTTTGTTTAGCCCCACACCCCTCTTTTGAGAAGATTGTCCTTTGTACCAAATTTATTGAGCAATAAGCTCCAACATTAGCGACAGAGAAAAGATACGATATTCGAACCGTCGATTTGGTGCACCTTCTGCAGTGCAGTGGCGGTCACAGAAAATAAATTTAAAAATTACGGAGAAAACACTCAAAATTATATAATTTTAACAAATTACTGTGAAAAAAATTAAAAATAATCTCATTCTTTTTAGGTTATTGTAATTGTTTATCAGCAATTATTTTAGTCTTTTAAATAAAAAATTATTTTTTTAACAAAATAAAGAAAATATTATAATAAAAAACACAAAGGTACTCTAACCTATATTCAAAATTACAAGAATAATTCAATCAATTAACAAGCCAATCCAACAGCAAAAAAATAACCAAAACAAAACCTGCCAATCAAAAATCAACAACCCCTTCATACAGTTATTTTAGTCTTTTAAATAAAAGATTATTGAAATAATATAATTTTAAATTTTTTCTTTATTTTTTAGGGATTTAGTAAATAAAATAATTTTTTCTAAGTTAAATATTGAAAATTAATTTATGTAGTAGGTAAGAACAGAGTTGAAGATTAACGGCTGATGAGGATCTTAAGAGCATGTGGGTAATTCCTTTTGTGCTGCTTCATTGACTTTATGTGGCAATCATGCTTCATGTGTACAGCATACGTTCCAAACATGGACATTGGATCTGCTGTCTACACCGAAGTCCCCTGATTAAAGAAGTAAATATATAAATTTAAAATATAAATTTAATACTAAAAACTAATTAATACTTTTGACTAATTAACGAGCAACTTATACTACTAGTAGATAGATAATTTCTTTCATTAAAAATTAAAGGTCTTTGATTATTACGCACATAGGTTGAGCAAGTAAAAGAAAACAAGAGTCCGTGTTTTATTTAGATGTTCTTTCAAAAATTTTCTAGATTCAACCAAAAAACATCACATTTTAATTAGAATTTTTTTCAAAATTAATTGTTGAATTGAAAATTTTACCCAAGCAAATCAGGTGTGTTGATATTTAGATTAATTAAGATGAAATCTAATTGTTGCTTACGAGATGTCATTGTTAAGAAAGGATTAGTTCCTGTTGCACATTAAATAGAAATAGTCTATACCTTGTAGTTCAATGTAATTTAGACTGCAAAATAATGATGATTAGGTGGGAGAGAGTTTCCTACATTAGAGAATTCGCCCATCATCCAATAATTATCGTTATATAATCTAATATAGTTCATATTGTATATAACAATTTTTTGAAATAGAAAAAGTATTAATAAAAATCAATATAACAAAGAGTTAATGATTGGGAACATATTCTAAATTATTTCATTGCCAGTTTTGATGATTATCAGCTGTATGGTCTGTAAGTATGGAATTTTGTTTCATAATTAAGATTGTACTAATAAGACCGTACAACATAAACTAGTAGATGGGTGGAAGGCCTCAATACGAGGAGTTCAACCTTATTCAATGATTAATATTATATAATTTAATATAGTTTGAAGTGTACAGTATTTTTTTCTTTGAGTATTTGATCTAAATTAATAGAATCTTGTCAAATTTTATTAGGGGTGTTTAGGATTCAAATATATCGGTATTTTACTATTTTTCTACACAATTCAATTTAATGGGATTGAAAAAATATCAAACTAATCTAATCCAATCAATATATTACAACTAAACCAATCTAATTATTATTAGATTGGATCGATTCAGATTGGATTAATTGGTTCTGTCTCAAATATATAAAAGAAAAAAAAAAGTAATTTTTAGAGTTTGATTATACTACTCTTCCTTTTGTGAAATTTAATTATACAAAAATAAAAGCAAAACTAAATAAATTTGTAATAGATAAAAGTATCATATGATATAATTTTAAAATTAAGATAAATAAATAGTAATAATATAAGAATGAAGAAAAAAAATTTAATTAATTCTTTCAATATCAATTCAAATTGGATGGTAATAAAACAAAACCACGAAGTCAAACCAATTTAATCAATTTTTAAGTTTTTATCCAAATTAATTCAATAAAATAATAATTTTAATTAATTTTTTTTATTAAAGTAATTTAAATTAAATCGAATTTATTAGATTGATTCGCATTCCTAATTTTTACCATTTTTAAGGCATTGCTGATTTGGTGGGTAGATGGGCAAACGTCAGCAACATAACCACCCTCATAAATTTCTGTTTCCTCTGTTCCCCAAAATCCAGAGAATATATATCCACGTGGGTTTCTATGAGAAAGCCGCGTCAACATACATATGACTATTTCAAAGCTGATTCGTTCAAAACATGACAATAAATAAACGAGTGGATTAAATGAAATGAACTACTTCTAAATTACTTGCATCACATTTTGAATTTCCACGGACGCTATGTGTTTTTAGTATACAAACAATTGAATTGAGTGCATCTCTCTCCCCCCCTTTTTTTTTTTTTCTTCCGTAGTCGCTGTCCTCTTTTCTTTTTCTTCTCCCTTAGCTACTGCCCCCTTTTCTTTCAACAGCTAAGGAAAATGAATTTTTGGTAAAAGCAGGGGTTTCTTCCTCTTTAGGGATTATCTCTTTTTTGGTTAGAGTTTCTCTAATATTTAAGGGCTTTTGTCAAGGCTCTTGATATCAAGTAAAATACTCCCTACGCAACAGGCCTACACAGCAAGCCATCATCTTTTCAAATGACATTTAGGATTAGCTTTCCTACCTCTAAGGGCACTCTAGGTCAGACTTAAGAAGCTTTCTTAAAGAAACCTGATTGTATCAAACCTAAGGAGTTTTCTTAAAGAAACCTAATTGAGTTAAGTTTTTTAAGACTCTTAGGAACTAGTTGGAAAACTTAATGTATGACCTTTGGAGAGTCCAATGGGTCAGCTTAGGACTGCATGGGTGAGAGAGCATGAACATGAATGAGGAGATGTCAAAATGAACCCAAAAGACATGCCTATTAGGTTTATAGGCCTCCCACATTTATATTCCACTCTTAACACCTTATTTCTCATCAATGTGAGATCTTTGCACATCACTTAACTCTCAAATCCACACATGTTCGTATACTCCAATAGTGTCCCTAACCAGCTTATGGTTGGAAAGCTTACCTATAGAGCTACTTGGCTAACTTGACTTAGGTATAGCTAAGACCTTTGACCTTGCACCTCTAGCCTAGAGGACAAGATAAAATACTAGGTATAATGGGGCACATGTACAAATGCAAACATCACCAACAACATCAGAAACCGTTAGGGAACATTCCTTGTCCTCATAGCCACATGGAACCTCCTTCTTGGTTGTCATAGCTGTGACTGTACTCTTTTTACAAGTTTCGAATGAACATGGTAGGTCAAATGCAAGTATTTGATAGGTTTCCACCAAAAAAGACAAACTATAAATAGGAATCTTCATGCACAACTCAAAGGTGCTTTCTCTCCCCCTCTTCTACACCATTTTCCTCTATTTTCTCTCCTCCTTCATCCTTTATCGAAATATTGCCGACTTAAACGTTAAAGTGCATCACACTAACCATCTTTTCTTTTACCCATGAGAGGTTTCTAAGCTTCTAGCAACTAAGTCAAATCTACCTAATGAGAATTCTTGTTTGCCAACAAAAGCAAATTCAAGATTATCAACTCTCTTGGAAGTTTTCATTGAGTTTTACCTCAAGTTAAAAAGAACGATAATGTGGTGGTGACTCTCCTTTAAGTTAATTTGAGCATATATAGCTTTGATGGCCACTAAATAAGACTCTAACTTTCCTTTAGGGTAATAGATCTCCTTTTGGTTCTACACTTAGTGGGTGGGAGAAAGGAACTTCCTTTTCCAAATTACCTACTCTCACCTAAAGTTTGGCATAGCTAGCAATTGGAAATATTTAGTAGCTCAAAATGCTCATGGTTATGTTCTTCCTTTTTTGTAGCTATGTTTATATCCCTACGACGATTGCATGACAATTTTTAGGTATAGACTACTCTTTAAACTTAACTATTTGTATCCATTATGAGCATAGTTTTTGGTTGTATTCAGTGCTATAGGTGGAATTTTATTAGTTTTAGGTGTCTTGAATTAGAGATTCATATGTAATCTCTCTTTTATATTTAATATTATCACTATTTCTTGTCAAAATATATAAATAAAAATTAATTTTTAAATAAAACTACTTAATTAGAAAATATTAAAAAATTTTAAATCGTCATTTACATGTACCATACAAGATATTGCTAACTAAAAATACTTATATTTTAAATCAAAATTTTCAAATTAGATCAATGATACTAACTCGGACCAACTCTTATTTACTTAATTCTTCTTAATCAAATAGAACAAAAGTAAGTTGGTGTCACACATTAGAAATTGGGGTCAAGTTGGTGTCCTTCTTAGGTATTTGCTTTACTTAATATTTTATTTTATGATCAGTTGTTTTACATAATATTGTAAATAGTTTGATATAGTTTTATTATTATGAAAAAGCTTCTAGAAGGTTTATGAGGGAGAAAGATCAAAATTCAAAGGCCCGCTTCTACCTAACTAACTTGTTGTTTTCTGAAAAGTTGTGACTTTTGAATTTATTTTTTACTTTTAATTAATACCGTATGTGGGGGAAAGTTGGTGTGTGATGGTAACATGTTCCTGAATGTTGGTATATATGTTATAAAAAGGAAAGTATTCTTTTCACACCAATGTATATATTGTACTGGCTCTTATAATGTAATGAAAACCTTTTGGGCACAAAATACTCCATCTAATGTTAGTAAAGTTTAACTTTTTTTCATCTAATAAAATAAAGATATAATAATTTATTAATAAAATTTTATATTTATTTTTAATTAATCATTACTTAAAAAATATTGTAGTTTTTATTTAATTATATTGTAATTATTTTTTAATTAATCATCACTTAAAGAATATTATAGTTTTTATTTAATTGTGCTGTAATTATCTTTTAAAAATAAAGATAAAATATACAAATAAATGCATAAAATAATATTTTTAAAAAGGAATAGATAATTAAATTTAAATGTTTCAAATTAAAAACTAAATCTATTAAAATTAAGTAGGGAGCAATAAAAAACCTTATTTACACCAACGATTTCTTACATCTATGCAGATTTAGATACGTAAAGTTCCGATTTAGAACAATAATAATAGGAGTAATACTTTTTTTCAACTTGACAAACAAAGATAGCGTATAGCTTTATCAGTAAAAATGAATTTATCAGCAAAGGTTAAAGCTTGGGAGTGTGTTTTGAGGTGGACGATGAGCATTTTTCAGTAAAAATTTTATATAAATGGGTTCGGATAATCTTTGCACCTTGCATTTTTAATAAAATTAATTTTTTGATAAAAAAAAAAGAAAAAAAAAAAGAAGAAATAGAGCATAGCTTATATCAATCTGGAAAGTTAAAAATGACGAGTCTTACGATTATAATCTGAAAAAAAAAAATGGTTGTTTTGAAAAGAACAGGTCTTACAAATCTAAAACGATGTCGCTTTAAAACTTACGCAGCAGTGTCAGTAAAGTAATCTGGAGCTAATTAAAGTAATACGAACGTGTTAAGCAGCTAGAGTTTCATTTCTAATTAATTTCTACATTAAGGGAGTGTTAAAGCATATGTTTTAGCTTCTAATTATGATCCATTAAAGATGGCTTAATTTTAAGGGTTTGCTTGTTAGAGGCCAATTTTATTGAGAAAATTTTTATGAATTTTTTTAATTTAAACACATGTTAAAAGTGTAACTCATATACTTTTTAGTTATCAATTCATATTAAAAAATAAAAAAGTTGATACTAATTTTAGTAAAAGTTGATATTAATTTTAGTATTAATGTTTATGTATCTTAATTTAATTAATTAGTTATTAAAATTAAAGCTAAAATTTATTTTTTTTCTATGTAACTTAATTAGCAAAAGTTGTATTAATTGTTAGAAAAACTCAATTTTTATTAACAAAACAGTTGAGAAAATACTGTATGGAAAATTAAAAAATATTACTCCTTTCATTCAACTTTAGTAATCTTACTTTGATTTTTTAATTTTTATATTTTAATTTCATATGAAAATTTAACAATTTATATAAATAATAATTAAATTTTTTTTATATATAATTCTTATTAAATATTTTTATTTAAAAAAATTAATTATTATTTACAAAACCCCGTGGAAGCTAGATAACAGATTCCAGGATTCATTTGCCGGCCTAGGCAACTAAACACAACCTAAAGCTAACTGCTAAAGAATAATAAAATACATGATATAGCGCAGAAGTTATGGAAGAAAGGATTCGGTTTTTATGCATTTATTCATAGATATTAAAAACCTTTCCAGGAAACAAGCCTCGTGGCAGGCATTTGTAGGCATCTGCTCAACACCATGAATAAAATAAGAGTTTAATGTTGAGAATATCCTCGTAGTCTAATGGTTACTTCTCTTTTATAAAGAACTTCTCATGTTAACATTGATAAGTATGGGCTTCGAGTTCTACCCCAAATATTTAAAAAATAATAATAATAATAATAATAAGAGTTTCAATATTATACAATTTAAAATGTGCCTACAAAAACACAAACTATATTTTTATTTAAATGTTTAAAAACCTTAATTTTATAAATAAGTTTAAAATATCCTTTATACTCCATACTAAGAAATTTGTCTTTACTGATAAAAAAAAAATTTTTTTGATGGAGAGGCTCTCTTCCAATATTGAGTACTTAATTTGTGTGATGATTAATGTATAAGTAAATAGTCAATCACCAACTATTATCCATCATTCACTATACATCATTTGTTATTTTTTTATACATCACTTGTTAGTTACCATTCATTACTTACTTTCCACACTAATCATCTCTATTCGCTTGATTTTAATTGTTATATTGAATATGCCTTTAATTGATTTTAAACCCCTCAATTATTTTTTGGGAAATTTTATCTTTTATTATAATTATAATTAATTAATAAATTTATATTTTTAGGTAATATATTGTGTGAAAAAGACTTGTATGAAGTATTGTTAAACAAAGTCTAATTCCACTACTATATGGTTATAACACTGCACATGATTTCAAATTAAATATTAAAGATATTTTTAGACAAATAGGTATTAAAAACTTAATTTTACACTTGGATTATATAATTTTATATATTTTAGTTTATTATTTCACACTTGATTTTATTAATATTTGAGTAAGTTGAATACTTAAAATGTAATTTTATTGAAAATCACATAATTTTTATTATTTGTAAAAAAAAAAAGGAACAAAATGCATGAAATTAGAAGTTTTGAAATTTAAGTGCATCATTTTCAAAAGCTTGGGAACTAAATTGTAATAAAAAAAAGTTAAAATTGGGGATTAAATTGAATAAATTTGTATTTTGATGATCAAAGTGCACAAGAATTGACGTTAAGGGGCCAACTATGTCATTTTACCATTAAAATTTTAAGGATTTTAACTATTTTTTACGGTGTTATAACATCCGTCAAATAGAGGGATTACGGTTGGCCCATTAGAGAAAGTTGAGGAATTATTATGAATTATTTTTAAATAAAAGGATTACAATGATTCTTTTTGTAAAGTTGTAGGATTTTTAATGGCATTAAGCTTTTACTATAAAAAAGTAATTTTAAGAGATTGGCGTTTATTAATTAAGTTTCTAAAAAATTAGTAAGAGAAAATATCTTAAAACTATATTGTTTCAAAAAAGTATTAAAAATAATATTTTAAATATTTTTGTAATAATTTTAATTTTAATTAATATTTTATATATTTTTGTGATAGAAAATGACAATAAAAAAAAAACTACAATTATGTCATGGTACTCTCAAATAAAGTTTGAATCTCAAAATAATTGTTTATTTTTTGGAAATATTATATAGTTACAATGTTATGTAAAATTATAAACTTACAATCACAATACATAATATTTTACTAAATAAGTGGATAAATATAATATCACGAGTATATATATAAATAAAAATAATTGATTATATAATAATATATCATATTTGTAAACTTAAAATATCAATGGCCGAACCACACAATGTCAACTATTAGATGAGGGCAAGGAGCTTAATCTTGAGAGTTGTTTTTCATTTAAGTGTTGTGTAGTTTAAATTGTAAAATAAGAAACTTTATATTTTAACTTGTATGTGATTAAATATTAATGAGAGTTCTATGTGCCTTGGAAGCTTTCTCAAGAACTTAGTTTACGGAAAGGAGGCCTAAGAATGGCTTCAGAAAACACATTAGTTGAGATTATTTAGGTGAGGATGGTATGCTAAATGAAAATTTTCTTCATTACAGATGTTGATTGTAATTCTTTTTATACCATCACCCGCAGTTGAATGAAGTTGCATATGATTAACAAGATTAAATCATGTATCATTTTGGATGGTTAATTTAATGGAAACTTTATCCAATCTTAGATATATTATTTCTGTGTTTGTTTTCATTGTGCTCAACAGTGTCATTTATTTATTTATTTATTTTTCTCCAGAATGATCCTCCCACTCCAG